TTTGCAATTGCTTTCTTCGTTATCTAATAGTTTTTTAATTACTACACAAGCAGTTTCTCAAAGTATTTAAATAGTGTGATTGTGTGTGTTCATTTTTGTATTAAGTTGTAAAATGTAAACAGAGATAACCCCAGGAGTTCCCCACTCCTTTGGGATTCTTTTGTAGAGTCAGTCTTAATAAATGCACGTTAGAGACAAGTGTGTGTATGAATTGTCCCCATAATAAAACATTCATAACACATTCTCACCTTCTTGACATACTTTTCTATTGTCTAACTGAAGCTTGTAGAATTGCATCGCAAACTTTTACCAAAGTAACTTTTACCTTAGCAAAGGTGCACGAAGAAACTCCAGTTAGTTCCAAGGTACTCGATCAGATTGACATCAGGACTAAAAGCCGGTCCAAAGATGCGAATATCTAATTCACAACTGCATATCAATGCATGGCGGCCAACCTTTGTCATGACTCATACTTCACCACGTAATATTGAACAATGTCTGTAATTAATTAAGGTTTTTAGTTGACATAAAAAAGTCAATGGCACGAGCGGGATTCGAACCCACGATCTTCGGCTAGATCCGCCGCTGCTCTACCACTTGAGCTATTGTGATCTCGATCGTGTGGACTACAGCTTTTTTCTGAAGCTCCTCATGGTGTGAGATTTCATTTTACTCAATAAGGTGGCCAACTGGCCACTCCATAACGACATGTCTTCCACAGTCAATTCACAATCATATCTCTGAGCCAGATCGATCCAATTCCTAAACCAGAAAGTTTTGGCTTTTATTATTTCCAAGGCAGAGATTCTTGGCAATCTATGAGGAGGTAACCTCAACATCCTTAGGCAGTAATCAAAGCGAAGTACACAATTATTATACGTAGTTTATTACACTAAGTCATTAACTAAGAAATTATCGCATTGTAAGTTGTTCTTCCCAGTACAGATCTCAGGGGACCCGGACAAAGGGTTCCCCCCACCCTTTAAACGAGGGTTCGCGACAGCAGACATCATATAAACCCTCAGGATTCCGATGTTTTTAAAAAAAAGCCCATTTGTAAGCATGTCGAGTTCGAATGAAGGGGCCGCTGGATTCGAACCCGGGACCTTTACCTTACAGCGATGAATGCCGTGTCAACGCCCCGTTGCGGCCACCGACGCCCCTTATTGGGGGGTATTATTTACATGGTAAGAGGGGGTTGGAAGAGGTAACATAAAAGGGTCATTTTCTCGATAACAACTGAACCATTTTTGATGAAGTTTGGCACACATCAAATAGATTAGACGACATTTGGAAAATGGCAAAAAGGATGGAAAATTCAAAAGGTGGGGGTTGAGATGGGAAGTTAGTGTCCGAGTGGTTCGAGGTAACGATAGCTCAAGTGGTAGAGCAGCAGCGTATCTAGCCGAAGGTCGTGGGTTCGAATCCCGCTCGTGACACTGACTTTTTTATCTCAATAAAAACCTTAATTAATTGTAAGATATTAATTGGTCAAGCGGGCCCGCTCGCAAATTCAAGGCACAATCTCTCCGGATAGCTGCCGTTGCTGGGGTTTTAGAGTGTAATTTCATTTAAGACTATCTGAGCCGCTTGACCTGATCAGTAGAAGGTTATTTGACAGTATTGGTTTCTTTTTTCTAACAAATCACCAAATAAATACAAGAGTTGAAATTGCAAGTCTAAGCAACTGAATAAATCCTTCACCTGACCATTTGGCAAACAAATCCTTCTCTCGGAGTGCATCTTATTGTTCTCAATACTTGGAAAGCCAGATGAACCGTACCTTCTAACTTTGTTCTTCAGCCAGTGGAAAATCGCCAGCTTCACTTTAGGCTATTACTCTCAAATATGCCACAGAGCATTGCCACCTTTTTTTATGTAAATGCAGGAATAATTTTAAAGTCTACTGAACTGGTATAAGATATATTAAAAAAGTAGCGAAATCTTTAACAATTCATTTCATTTTGCCCACTATTGACTACAGTAAGGATGAATTTAATGTAATCTGACATAAAAAAAAGAGTACAATGAGGCGTAAACAATTCAAATTTGCCTTCAAACTGAGGAGAAACTTTTGGGTTTAATTAAACCACCAAGTTTCAGCATTTGGCCTACATACTGCATATTGTAAAGGGGGGAGATGCAATGCCATTTGCAACAGTAATTAAAAAGTTGTTCTTTTTAATTTTAATAATATAAACAATATCGCAAAACATGACTTATTTAACTAAAGAAAAACTCTCTAGCCTTGAACCGTACGTGACCAAAATTGAGGGAGTCAATTTTTGAAGAATTTCTGATGTGTGAGAAAATATCGCTAAATGGTCAAGTATGGAGCCCATTAAAAAATGCCATCTCAATTCTTTATCGAGCTTGCCTAGAATAGACTATGAAATTTTAATTATTTGTTTAAAAGGTTAACTAACAAATATGAACATTTATTTACAATTTTCAAACTTATGTTATCAAATACAATGACAATACAGCACGGGATCAAAACCAGTTTTATTAATATATTATTACATAATACATTAGTGTAATTGTGTAAATACTGGTAATTAAACCAATTTTACCGCCGACCCTTGTTTGGAAAATCCGAAGGTGTAAAAGCTGTAACAGCAGTGGATTGAAGGCAAATTAAAACGCGCTAACCCCGCCTTCGTCGGCTCCCGCAGGGATTATGTCAAGGGAATTGGGTTAATTAAAGAATAATTAGAGAATGGAAGTAGAAAGTCGGGTCGTTAACAAAGCGGATCCAAGTCACTTCCGCTCACTTCTGCTAAGCATCTTCGACGTCCTACGCGACCAGCAATCAACAAATTTTCCCAAACTTGCTGTTTTACTTTGTTCAAGTCGAAAACATTACAAAACACATACTGGTTTTTGTTCCTTTTACAAATAGGTATACTTTTGAGAATTAAGTACTTTTATATTGACAGTGAAAAGTTAATTTTGGCTAGATTTGTTTCATAGCTACTACTTAGTTTAATAAAGCATTGACATATCGTAAAATAATACTGTTGAGGATCGAATCATAGTTTTTTCGAATCTTTTTTTTTTTTTTTTTTTTCGCAGTTTCGCAACAGAACAAAAAAAAAGCCCATTTGTAAATATGTCGAGTTCGAATGCAGGGCCGCTGGATTCGAACCCGGGACCTTCACCTTACAGCGATGAGCGACGTGTCAACGCCTAAAACCTTGCGGCCACCGACGCTCCCTCAACCATCCCTAATCATAGTTTACGGGTAATTGGTTCTTACAAATGACAAGTAAAAACGAAAAAAATGAAATGTCCAACCCATTTTTCTCAAAACCTATATCAAAAAATGCACACAGCACCAACTTTAGTTTTGTCTGTTAGAGTCCTCCTTCGCGACGTCTTCTTTTTTTGGAAAATGTATTTCCATGAACTGCTTCCTGTGTAGTTTTGTCTGCGTTGTTGGTATAAACAAATTAATAATTCAGATATCGTGAGATGCGGTCTGGTGTGATGTAGGTTTCAGAAAAACGTTTTCTTTATCGTGCCAACGTTTCGATCTTTTATTGAGATCATCTTCAGGGCCTTGGTTGTCTGGTGAAATTCAACTACATACGGACACGCAGCTAAAAGTATTCTGAAGGACATCGCCAACAATGAGAAGAAACTCGCATCGGCCATCAATCAAGCAACTTTTTTGCTGAAATGCAGACAACACAAGGCCCTGAAGATGATCTCAATAAAAGATCGAAACGTTGGCACGATAAAAAAAATGTTTTTCTAAAACCTACATCACACCCGACCGCATCTCACGATATCTGAATTACTATCGATTAACGGTCACTAATCTTTACACATAAACAAATAGTCATATTAAAAATAAAATTAGTTGCTTATATATTGCGCTTTTTATTTAGTACAAAGAACTTGCTTAATTTTGACCAATAATCTCTAGTAATTTTAGGCGAAACTTTCTTGGCTGTCTGCCTTCTGCGTGCTTCTGTTCTAGGTTGTTAAAGCGATTATCATGCTTAATTTGGTCCATTTGATAATGGTTCTTTTGTAACATTTTAAAATTTTACGTAAAGTTTTATTGGACCTAGGAGTTTAGTTGAAAACCTATATTTTTGCATCGCATTGCTTTATAATCTGCTTTTCCTTCAGCGTCGAGTGTAATCGCCCTAAGTATCTTTATCCAATATATGTTAAATTTATTTTACTCCATTAATATAAACTTGATTTTAAACTCAATCGAAGCACTTCCTATCATACTTTGAATTAATTTTCACCCCGCAATGTCGCGTGTTTGATCGGGGATGTCCATCGAGCACGGTAAACCCCGCGACCGTCGAGGGGAAAAAAGCGAGACGGGAAAGCGCCAAGACAACGTCGGGACGATACCGTCGGCAGGATGTGTTACAGATAACGGCAGTTTGTTACACGTTCAAAAACAGTCATTACCACCAGGTAGGAGTCTGCCGTCAGGGGTCACGCGATCCCAAGGGAATGCAGTGGCCCCTATCACGACACGCTACACGAAAGGGTGATTTAATAATGAACAGATCCACGTTTGGGATAAAAACAACGTTGGTGGATTTCATTGTGCTCGAAGCTGCTGGAAATTCGCCATTTTTTCAACAAACCAATTCTTACCAGAACACAAACCGACCATAAACCTTATGCCTGAAGATGATTTAAAAATATATTCAAACAATACCTAATGTTGTATTAATTGGTAAATTTGCAGAGAATTATTTTCCTTTTTCGTGTTTCTGATCTTATCTAGTCGCTTTAAAAACAAAACGCTGGTTTCTGTCATCTTGTGCATGCTAGGAAAGGTTCATGCTTCATTGTTGCCGAACATGATGGACTAACTTCAACTTGTCTTGAATTCTTATTCATACCCGAATATCTACACCCAAGACTTTTTCAGTTAACAATAAGGAATTATTATTTTTATTTTTGCCTCGAACCAAAGACGTGATCGTTGTAAAACTGGTAGACAAAAGCTTCTTTTTTTGCAGGACCAGGTGAGGTGATAAACTGCTACCTGCTGTCGTTGGCAGTAGCAGATCTGCTCTGCGGTCTGCTGGTTGTGCCACTGTCCGTCTACCCGGCCCTCGTCCAGAAATGGGTCTACGGAGACTTGGTCTGCCGGCTCGTCGGCTACCTGGAGGTGACCCTGTGGGCCGTCTCCGTCTACACTTTCATGTGGATCTCCGTGGACAGATACCTCGCTGTGAGGAAGCCTCTGAGGTACATAATTCGGTAAAAAAAGATTTGAAAGAAAAAATATTATTTATATATTAAGTACTAATTAGTTTGCCCAGAGTAAAAAACTATCTTTTTAAAAATTATAGACAGAAAGAGTTTTTGTTTGAATTGGTTTCATTTCTGGTTTCATCAAGCAGTTCATAGCACAAAATTCCTCTTAATCCCATCTAGTACACGTCAGGATTATCTTTAGGATGAATTAGGCTTTTTTCTTCTTTTTTTCTGTACGAGAGTTCGCAACAGCAGAGGTTGTATGTCGGGTTTGAATTTCCAGGGCCGCTGGATTCGAACCCGGGACGTAACCTTAACCTTAACTTTAACGCCTAAACCGTTGCGGCCACCGATGCCCCAACAGAAAGTAGGCTTTTAAACATTAACAAAATGTCAATTTAGTAATATAGACCAGACTCCCACTGATCTCATAAACTTTACTGGCTTCCAGAAAGTAATGGACTTGGCGAACGAGCTTGTAGCATTAGTAGACAGTTCAAAGCATCTTTTGTTTGGGGGGGGGGGGGTCATGTAAGGATTGCAACCACCTTTTCTCCGCGGTCACAATAAAGGTCTATTGGGGCACCCTAATCTTACCTTGAAAGTATGCTTTTTTCTACAAATCTAATTGCTTTCATCGTGAAATTCTTTTGGAGTGAGAATTGCATTACCAAAGCGGATGCAGCTCTGGCCTAGTGTTTCACATTCACAAAGGAGGGTTCCTCCTCACAGAGTCTAATTTAATCATTTTCTTCAAATTTTGCCTTCTTTAGGCATTCTTGTATTATTCTAGGACCATTAACTTCAAGGTGGGGATCTTCAGACCTGCTGGTTTCTGTTGTTGCCATTACACCCAAATTCTGATTTGATAAAAAATTTCTAATTAAAATACCTGGTACAGCAGACTAGGAGAAAGGAATAGCTTACCATAACTGCTATACACATGGTTCTAAGACTGATATGAGGTGGTTTTTATGGAAATTCATATAAGCCTCGGGCAGTATGCTTCCGTCTTTCAAGCAACGACTATAGTTAGTGAACACTGTACCAAGAAGATTAAAATGCAAGATATTGTTAACAGGAAGATGGTCATCCACTTGGGCAGGCAGGTAGCACTGAGGTCAGTTACCGCATCAGTGGTAAGTCCATAGTCATTTCGAATTTCATTAGGGCCCTCACAAACAATGGGGGCAGCAACAAAATTACTCTTGTTGGAGTACCGCAGGGCATTGGCAATGAATGGGCTGGTAAATTGGCCAATTCAATTAGAACACCTATTTGCCCTGAACTCTTTTGTGGCAGACCTAACTGCCAAAATCATGGATCCATCCTAAGCTGTTTCTGATTAGATCATCTACTGCCAGAAACCATAGACGTTGCATCCTTGAATAATTGCTAACTAGGTTAGATTAGATTATATAGGAGCTGGCCTCTTTACAGTCTGTGCACGGCGACCAGTTTTGCATCTCCATTTTTTAATCTAGAGCTCCTCAAGCTTAATGCTTTTTGAAGAAAGGTTAACTCTGGGACACATACTTTACCCAATTGATGAATTTGAAAAGAAACCAGTTCTTAGCTAGTCACAAATCAAAGAAAAAAGATGGTTTCTTGGCATTTATTAAGAAATGAAAAAAGTGTAATTATTGCCAATATAAAATATGTTATTGTTAGTAAAGATTCAAAACAAGAGTGGTCCAAAGTGAGATCCTTGGGGAACAGCGTGTTTATATTATAGGTAGGGTATTACTACTCAATTGTGAGATTTTTTCTTGGGTTCTGCAGGGTGATGAACATACATCTTTGTCTTTTCCGGGCATTTTGGTCTGCCTAATTGACTAATCTTCTAATGAATAATCACCCAGGATCAGGATGGCAAGAAGCCATAATGGACAGGCCAAACCAGCAAGGATTGGCAGACCAAAATGACCCAAAACTACAAAAGTACAGGTAATAACCCCGCAGAGCCAATGGAAAAATTAGAAAACCATCAAATTTCAATAACATAAAACGGGGAAGGGCATTTCAGCCATTTTGAGTATTATGTACTTTATTCAAATCATGACTCAAAGATATTTTCTTAGTTTACTTCAGTTAGCAGTAATATGTCAATACATATTGTGTGCTACTGTGAATGCTCGACAAGGAAAAGGTCTCTACACACAATGCAAAGAAAATGTGAATCCAGGAAAACTACATTGAGGCTATGGAGGCTAATAAAAGGACTGCTGGATTAAGGAGTGAAGAAGCACAGTAGTCACAATTTGATTGAAACAATGCAACTGGCTTTGTAGCCACCTTGTATGAACCTAACCTAACCAAACCTTACCTAGAAGCTGTACGTCTTTTACATCATTATATTATTATTATTATTAGTTGTAAAGAGGAAGTAGACAGTTGTGTTGCTTATTATTTTATGTACGGTGTTAAAATTTAAATGTTTACAGGTATGATACGGTTCAAACGAAGATCAGATGCCAGTGTTGGATGGCGTTGACCTGGGTTTCGGCGGCGATGATGTGCTGCCCACCACTGCTCGGTTTCAACCAGCCGGTGTTCGACAGCGACTCACTTGTCTGCCTTCTCGACTGGAGGGACATGGCAGCATACTCTGCGACGTTGGCTGTCCTCGTCCTCGGCCCTAGCGTCATCACCATCACATACACTTACAGCTATATATTCACGATGATGCGACGAGTCAAATCCGGAGCGCCAATGCACGATAAAGAGTACGCGACAGCGCTGTCGGAAAATCTGGCCAACCCAAGCCATATAATGAGTTTCATTCTCGTTGTCATGTTCTGCGTGTCTTGGGCACCGTTCATCGCCGTCCGGGCCTACGAAGGGACAACTGGGAATAGGATTAGTATCATTCCGCACATCCATTTCGCCGTCTTTTGGATGGGCGTTCTGAACTCCGTCTGGAAAGCGATCATTCTCATCATGCTCAGCCCGCAATTCAGGCTCATGCTACGAATTCTAGGGTTCACTCTGTGCTGTCGGCATCGGGCCAGAATGCAGATGGAGCTCATTGGCATGGAGGACGAGTAAAGCACTACTACAAAAATTAACAAAAAAATTATTCATAATACATATAAAACACCACACTATAAAAAAAACTTATTAAGAAGCATATATACATAAAAACATTATATATGTTATTTCGCCTTAAATGTAGGTATGAGAGGTGTTGTTAAGCTCAATATATGTTTACCCTTCGTGAAATCCCATTTAGTACTCCGCGACAATCAATTTATATTAAGCAGTGCGCAAATGACCTGACAGTCCAAGTTTTTTTTCTTGTTTACAAGCCTCTAAATCGTCTCTGGTGTTTTCATGAATCTTTGTCCAGTTGCGTTATCGATGTTGTAAAAGTTCAGGTAAATATAATCCCCTATTTAAAAATACAAAAATACAAAAAAATACGTATATTATGTATAGATATTATTATAAAAAAGAGTTTAAAAAAATATATTATTTAAATACAATATTTATATATAAAAATAAATATCCCCCAAAAAAAGATAAAATGTACAACGTGGTGTAGTAGAATTATGTGTAACGTTATATTTGTTAAACATTGGTTATGTATGAATAAATTTAATGGCTGTGTTAGTGTACACAGCATAGGGTAAATGTGCATAGGTGTCTAGTACCACAAGTTTAGACTGTGCCTCACGCAGCGCCCCATGTGGCGAGTCTCACTAAAGTTTTATGGCAAAATTTTAATTTTTTGGCCAGTCAAATGTGATTGCAGCCTACTGTTACATTTACGACTTACTGCGTTTTGAATTGGCCGATTTTAGCCCTTTTTTGTGCTATCCGATGGCAAATGTCGCTTGGTTTACGGTCATCAGCCTATTCTGAAATTGTATACTCCAGTCAAAATGTCCAAGGCCAAAAATGAAATAGTATAAAGTACAAATATTTTTTTTTCTATTTGTGTTAAACATTAGACCAAACATATAAATTCAATTTTTTAAATTATTACCCAGATTAATAGATATTCTGTGTATTTTTTATCAACTGGATTTTAAACCTTGGGATCTGTTTTACTTTGTAGGGTGCTTGTAATTTGGTCGTTAATTATTATTTTTGGTCTGTCTATCCTCTCTGGGTTAGTATGTCATACAGGCAGGTTTAGCATGTCTGTGTTTTTTGTTTGACATTTTTGACATAACTTTCTTGTAGAATAAATGTTGAAAACGGCACAATAATTTTAAATATTAGGTGTTTTCTTGATTTAAACTTGTTACTATGTTCATTTTTTGGGTTGATCCTCATAAAATTCTAAGTTTTCTCACTCTAAGATCTCTCGATGCCTCGTATTCCATAAACTATTTGACTAGTTTGAAGCAAGTATCTATCCAAAACAGCAAAATGACCGAAAAAATAAATCACTGGTACTCTTTTCGATCGATGAATTTCGTTTAGAATGATGGCTATTAACAATTGAGCAACATTTAAAACATATCAAAAAAGGGACCAAAATTGTCAATTGAAGCATGATAGAAAAAAAACTATGTGATAATTTATGAAAAATAGTTGGTTCGGAGGATTAACATACAGGCTGTAATCATCTTTTGCTCACCAGAAAACTCAATTTAACAATTTTGACTTCTTACGACTGAATTATTAATCAATAATTTCTTTGTTTACTGAATAATTAAACAAAAATTGTTTTTGAAAATTTCAAAAGTTACTATTTAAGATTTACATAAAGGCTAGCTCAGTAAAATAAAAAATTTAAACATTTTCAAGATGCACTCGCTGATTTAATAAAAAATTAACAATCAAGACCTTTTAATTTTAAGGATTATAAAACCAGGTGACAATCTTTTCTTACTGTATCTTTAAAATTATGCAACTCAATTGACTGGTTGTTGTTAAAAATTAGCAAAAAGTTAAAAGATAAGAATGTATTGTCCAATGTTTTCGGCGAAAGGCTGAACTCAAAAGCCGAATCTCCCGCTCGAAGACAATAAAAATGAAACAGGAAAAAAGGGTACGTTTTTTTTAATTTCGATTAATTCCAGGCCTAATAACGAATGAGAATGAGTAAAAATGAAACCCTGGGACATATCAGAATTCGAAGGGACGCTGGGTGGGACTCGCTAGAGGGGGACATTTCTAGCTTTCGCGTTTAATTTTTATGTAATTTCGTTAACTGCCTTTGCCTTAGGGTCTAAAAAAAATAGGATTAATTCAATTTTTAACTAACTCTTTAATTAAATAGTTGTTACATTTTTGCCATTTTCTAATTCGGCATTTCTCATGAGCTTTCATCCCTCAGAATATTATGTATATTGCTTAATATTAAGGTTTAACACTTTCACCTCACTATAGTCCTTTACACTTTAAATTTTGTGTTAATATACTGTGATATCATTATTTGCATAATTATATGGAAAGTAGGTTTAATTTTTAATATAGCTTTTCATTTATTAGAGGAAGATAAGAGAATAAACAATTGAATTAATTTATTAAAAACACTATTTAAAAAAATAGTAAATATATAAAATTATATCTTCTTTTTAAAAATAAAAAATAAAGCTGACTTACATTTATTAAAATTTAAACTTCTACTTAATATTCAAAATTATAATTTACTAAGTTCAGAGAAGGCCTTAAAAGCTTGACATAAATTATTATAGTGTCTTTAAAAAAAAAAATTAATTAATTAATGCAAGCTCAATTTTTAAATGCATAAATTTATCGTTAAGATAAAATTATTGTATAAAGTTTAAAGTGTGTGATAATTGATGCAGCAATAAGCAATCTTCAGGAAGTACGTTGTGTACTTTTTTCCCTACGTTATTTACTTATAGCTTGCATATGAGATTGTGTTTTTTTGTCGGATTAATTTTTTGCAGTAACTTCCTGAAAGAATTCAAGTGTTTATTCTCTTTCTTCTTCGACCACATGTTGAAAATGCACTCTACTAGCATTTGTCTAATTTTTTTATTTTTCTATTAGTATCAACAGTCTTTTACTTATGGACTATGTTCCACTTCTAATGAACATCGAATTAAAAATTCTTTGATTAATTTCCCTCTTCGCCGCCTCTGTGAAATTAAATAAACTTAGATTTTTTTTAACACATGCCTATCTGACAACCGTATTATAAAAAAAACACCTCAACAAATAACAACAAATATAAAATGAAAGTGTAAATGATCATGCATTGAAATAAACTTGCCAACGAAAAATAAAATCGACTTAACGGAAATGAGAAAGTGCTTGGTGCGGGTAAAACATAACGTCGAATGGAGGACTTAATCCTCCTCATAACTAACCTATTAAATGTTAGCCTGGTAGAGGACTTTTTAAATTTGCTCATCTAGTCTGGGTTATTTCACCATCACAAAAACAAACTACAAACCTAGGTTCAAAATACTTTTTATGACAATATAAAGTCCTGCATAAAAAAGCCAAAAAATCATAAATATTACTTTCATTAATTTTTAATTGAGTCTGTTCCTGTGTAGTTTCAATTTAAAAATTATTTGTTATATTTTAACAATTGTACTTTATTAATTAAAATCATAGTAATTACATACACTGTATTTGAAAAAAAAAACGATGGTGGAAAAAATTCTAATAGAAATAGTATAATAGTTTTCTATATTTGAAAAATCATGAGATTATAATATTTAAGCTTTCTAAGTGTAAATAGAGAGGCAGGTAAAATTTTAATAATGTATTTTATCCATCTGCACAAAATATGATTTTCTGTTAATTTAATTTTTATTTTAATCCAGATTTTTTTCTTGATATTTTATCCAAGAAAAATTAAAAACGTTAAAATATTATCAAGTTAATTAAGGGTTTTTTAAAAATATTTCGTAATGAAGTAGTTCAATGTTGTTTCCACTAAGGCCTACAATTGTACAAATTCCAAAGTAGGCCGATGCTTATTTAAAAAATAAAATTATTCTAAACGAAATGGCAATGTCCACTTATTTTAAATAACCTTTTTTGCCGTTTGTAAACGTTTTGCTTCGTAACTTTGAACAGAGCTCTTTTGAAAAAATCTCGGCATCTTTTTATAAATTAAATTCGTTTAAATCTATTCGCTAATTGGGCTTTTGATAGTTTTTCAATTTTTTCCACCATTAATGCGCATTGTTCGAATGTTTTCCTCTCCCTCAACCCACCCGTGCTCTATAACATTCCCAAAGTTTCTAAAAAAGATTTATTCAAATTTTAAATTTAAGAAATTAAATTAAATTCATGCAATTTATTCACTTGAAAATTTAAAAAACAAAAACAAATTATAATCTAATTCTTACACAATCAAGAACATAAATTTATAGATTTTAAAATTAATAACTCTTAGTATTAATATCCCATGTAAACAGATATTATTACATCAACTAATTCTTTCATTACGCTTTTTACAAGAAAAATATATAATAAATTAATATATAAAAGATACAAAATGATATATAGATCAGCCCTCACCCATGTTACCTAATGCTCAGTGTTCTTTGTATTTTATTAAATAAAAGAAGCAATTAAAATGAAAAATTGATTATATAGTGCATGCATTTCACTTAATTGTATATATTTATATTTTGAGAAAATGCGTGTGTGGATGGGTAAAAAAAGTTTCAAGCGTTTATCGAGGTGGTTTATAATTTTTTTGTACAATAATATAGTTTGATAGTTTTATATTAGTTTTTTAAAAAGTTAAATGTTAAAGTGTATATTTACAAATACACTAAAATATATATATGTATATTGGGGGAAAAGATTGCATATTCCGGTTGTGAATGAGGTTTATTTATTTCATTCGTACTCATTGTTGTTTTCAAAGAGTTAAATATTTTAAGAACCTATAAGAAAAACTGTTAAAAATTATTATAAAACAAATGTATAGTATGTTAGAAATAAATAAAAATGTGTTACCGATTTATTTTCATTTTATCCATACTACAATCTGCATAATCGTCAAGGATATTTGTTATGAGAACATTTCAATTAATAATAATAATAATTAATGTAACGCAAAGAAAGGAGAGAGAGAGAGAGAGAGAGAGAGAGAGAGAATGAGAGAATTTGTCATAATAAATAATTAATCTAACTTGTTAATCCTCTCATGGCTGTAAGGTTATCAGGAACCATTAGAACAAAAGTTTTTCTCTTGATTCTTTTCCTTAATTTCTCAATTTCTTCATATTTTTATTGTCTACAAGTATAATTAAATTTATACAAGGAAATTTTAAATTTGGTGGGTAAAAAATGACTAATCATCATCTCTCTAAAGAGTCTTTAAAAAGATAATTGATTGATGGACGTATGTTAATGAAGGAGGTCTTTTATAACAAATGGAATGATTGATAAATGTAAAAATTCCTGAAATTAGAAAATTAGAAAACCCACATCTGGTCCTTTTGCTTATTTTCGCCATTTTCCAGGATTATCGATATTTCATCATTTTTCACCTCCTATTAACTTGGAGTAGGATGAAAAAACAGTTTATAAAAAATGGAACCATTGACAAATGTAAAAGTCCTAAAATTAGATAGTACAAAAAGCCAAAAGTGGTCCTTTTGACTGTTTCTACCATTTTTCAGAATTATCAATTTTTGATTAATTTTTCACTTCTGAATTGCTTGGACTAGGCTGAAAAAATATTTTATAATAAATGGAACAATTGATAAATGTAAAAATTCCTGAAATTAGATAATACGAAATGCCAAAAGTGGTCCTTTTGACTCGTTCTACCATTTTTCAGAATTATCGATATTTGATTAATTTTTCACTTATGAATTGCTTGGACTAGGCCGAAAAAATATTTTATAACAAATGGAACGATCGACAAATGTAAAAAGTCCTGAAATTAGAAAATTAGAAAAACCCAAATCTGGTCCATTTGCCTATTTTAGCCATTTTCCAGAGTTATCAATATTTCATTCATTTTTCACCTCCTATTAACTTGTACTAGGCTGAAAAAACCATTTTATAACAAATAGAACGATTGATAAATGTAAAAATTACTGAAATTAGATAATACGAAATATCGAAAACTGGTTCTTTTGTCTATTTTGCCATTTTCCAGGATTATCGATATTTCATCATTTTCACCTCCTATTAACTTGGACTAGACTGAAAAAATATTTTATAACAAATGGAACCATGACAAACGTTAAAGTCCTATAATTAGAAAATTTGAAAAACCCAAAACTGGTCCTTTTTTTAGCCATTTTCCAGGATTATCGATATTTCATCATTTTTCACCTCCTATTAACTTGGACTAGGCCGAAAAACCACTTTATACAATACTACAAGTATAGTATACAACAATACTATACTTGACAAATGTAAAAATTCCTGAAATTTGAAAATTTGAAAAAGCCAAAACTGGTCCTTTTGCCCCTTTTTGCCTTTTCCAGAGTTATGAATATTTGGTGGGTCAAAAATGACTCTAATCATCATCTCTCTAAAGTGTCTTTAAAAAGATAGTTGATTGATGGATATTTGATAATGAAGGAGGTCTTTTATAACAATTGGAATGGTTGGCAAATGTAAAAATTCTTGAAATTAGAAAATTCAAAAAAGCCAAAACTTTGGCCATATTTTTGCCATTTTCCAGGATTATAGATATTTCATTCATTTCTCACATCCTATTACCTTCAATTAGGCTGAAAATTTTTTTTATAACAAATGGAATGATTGACAATTGTAAAAAGTCCTGAAATTAGATAGTACGAAAAGCCAAAAGTGGTCCTTTTGACTGTTTCTACCATTTTTTAGAATTATCGATATTTGATTAATTTTTCACTTATGAATTGCTTGGACTAGGTGGAAAAAATATTTTATAACAAATGGAACGATCGACAAATGTAAAAAGTCCTGAAATTAGAAAAACCCAAATCTGGTCCATTTGCCTATTTTAGCCATTTTCCAGAGTTATCAATATTTCATTCATTTTTCACCTCCTATTAAGTTTTACTAGGCTGAAAAAAACCACTTTATAACAAATGGAACGATTGACAAATGTAAAAAGTCCTGAAATTAGAAAATTCAAAAAAGCCAAAACTGGTCCTTTTGCCTTTTTTAGCCATTTTCCAGGATTATCGACATTTATCGATTAATTTATTAATTATTAATTTTTCACTTCTGAATTGCTTGGACTAGGCCGAAAAATTATTTTATAACAAATGGAACCATTGACAAATGTAAAAGTCCCAAAATTTGAAAATTTGAAAAACCCAACATTGGTCCTTTTGCCACTTTTTGTCATTTTCGAGTTATGAATATTTGGTGGGTCAAAAATCATCATCTCTCTAAAGAGTCTTTAAAAAGATAATTGATTGTTGGACGTGTGTTAATGAAGGAGGTCTTTTATAACAAATGGAACGATCGACAAATGTAAAAATTCCAGAAATTAGAAAATTCGAAAAAGCCAAAACTGGTCGTTTTGCCTTTTTTAGCCATTTTCCAGGATTATCGACATTTTATTCATTTTTCACCTCCTATTACCTTGTTCTAGGCCGAAAAACCACTTTATAACAAATGGAACGATTGAAAATTGTAAAAAGTCCTGAAATGAGATCATACGAAAAGCCAAAAGTTTTTCAGAATTATCGATATTTGATTAATTTTTCACTTCTGAATTGCTTGGACTACGTCGAAAAAATATTTTATAACAAATGGAACGATCGACAAATGTAAAAAGTCCTGAAATTAGAAAAAGCAAAAACTGGTTCTTTTGCCTATTTTTGCCATTTTCCAGGATTATCGACATTTCATTCATTTTTCACCTCCTATTAACTTGGACTGGGCTGGGAAAAAAAAAAAAAAAAAAAAAATTATAACAAATGGAACGATTGACAAATGTAAAAAGTCTTAAAATTAGATAATACAAAAAGCCAAAACTGGTCCTTTTGCCTATTTCGATAACAAAACTGTAGATAATTGAAATAACCCAAAATTTTGACTACATATCTGCAAAAGCGTTCAGGACCATGGTTTATACATACTTTTTTCTCACATTTGATGTGTAGATGAGTTAAATGAAGAGAGCGATCTTTTCAGACATTTTCATTTTTCATTCCTTGAACAACAACATACAGAAGGATGAAGAGAGATTCTTGATGTAAATATGAATTTTACTGTATGTTTTGATTTACCATAATTTGTTTACATAATTGTACTCAGTTAGCACCACAGCATTATTTATAGGGTATTGTGATAGATTAAAAAAAAAGACCATTTTGTATTATATTGATAACATATAGATCAAATGGATGTTCAATTGACTTATTTTTCTAGAATCTGACTCTAAACATAAAACTAATACTAATAATCTATAATGACTAATAAACTTAAAATTATATCTTGCTAAGTTAAAAAAGTTATATCATAATTAAATAGAACATACTTTTTTTAGTTAGCTAGAATTCTGTTAACAGAATAGAGAAACTTTAAGTTTATTCTTGTGCTATAAATTATCAGGTATAAATCATTTTACTTATATTGCCCCGTAAATAATTGTGCGTTAATAGAAGAATGACATTAAAATAATAAAAAGATAAATCTTCCTGTTGTCCTTAGATAATACAGAGTAGATCCTTAATCTCTTGTTCTAAAGCATGATGCAGCGTTCTTTTACGTCCAGGTGATTTACTTACTAGTGGCATCTCATTGATTTTATATCCTTTTGCACTGTAGGAAGAATGACACAAGAAGTTCAACCCTGATGAAGGCAGAGCTGAAAGAATTGGATTGCTCACTCAGCAGCGACGTTTCTAATATTAGAGATGAAATTGAAAAAGCTAGTTTACGGTTCACCGAGGCGCAGTAAGTTCTCAAATCTATTATCAACCTACGCTTTTCAGAAAGTTTCAAATTTGATTTTCCTAATTTCTAATCTTGAACAAATCTGTAACTAATTTTTTTAAAAAATTTATGTTAATTCTTCAGGAAAAGGTTTACCCTGGCCGAGAAGGAATTCAATACGGCTCTTGCAGAATTGGTCAAAGAAAAGGAAAAGAAGACTGTTTTGGCGGATCATCTTAAAGATCTAATTGAACGGAATGAAATGAAAAAAGCGCAAAAGTTGTCTGAACTGATGGGAAAGTTCGAAATCTCATCACGGCCAACGGGTTTTTCTCTACCAAAGGCATATTCATATTTTGTTTATCACTTTAATTCAATTATGCTATCGTAATGAACATTATTTCTACCCTAGGAAGATGAAAACGGATCCAAATCAAACTCAGACTGAAATTAACTCTAAGGAAAATATAACTTTAAAAAATTATTAACAATTGTAAGTTCTACTTTTTTTCTGTAGTGATGAATATCGTTATACATCACATAAATGAAAAGGGCAAATTCAAGAGAAAAGAATACATAAAAATAAAAACACTTTTAATATATACATTTCAAAAAAATTTAACAAAATAAATAACATCCATTCAAAACTTATGTTTGGAAAAAATTAAGTCGTTCATGTACAGGCAATAAAAATACAAATTATTTAAGAAAAGTTAAAATTTGTTTTCTAATAAAGTAAAATGTACACTGAGATGCTTAAAATATTAAATGTGGTCGCACAGTCCAGCGATAATTCTTACAATTTTGTTATGATAAGTAAAGCTGTTAAAATTGTTGTAGTAACCGCCAAAATAATGATGCAAATCATCTTTCTGTTCTTTTTCTGGTAGTTGGAGGCTTTTTCCAGTTGAATTGTCGCTTGCTTAACTTGGCATTGCGTCGTTTCAATGTGGTAGTCTATTCTATCTAGTACTGTACCCTTGAAAAAGAATTTTCATGATAGTCACAAAATTTGCTTCATCCATTTTTATATATATTAAAAAAAAAGTTTAATACCTGATCGATAACAAGTCGACTCAATTCTTTGTAAATGTCCCTCAATTCTAACACAGAACTGACTATACCTTCCACTTTCTTCTCGGAAATAAGAGCGGCCTCGTAATTGTCTTGAACCATAGCTTGTGTTTGGCTTAAATCGAATATGTCTTCTTCCGGATCATCCTCGAATATATCAGTCACAAAATAGGCCTTCGATCTCTCTTCTCTAACTTTTAGCTCTAATTTAAAAACAATACTGATTATAATACAGTGAAAATTTTACCACGGTCAAATACCCACTATTCCTATAATTGTTCTCCATTGATTTGAACTCTGAATACAAATTTTGAATATCTGCTACGAGAGCTCTTGCGACTGAATTAACAAGTTTTTTCTCCAAGGCCGACGTCGTATGTGAAGACTCGTTATAAATTTGAGTAATATTTTTATAAAGTCCATTGTAAATCTGCAAAGTAAATTATTTATTAAAGCTGTTATTATTGGTTATATTTAACAAGATATTACCCTAGCTATTTCCTCAGTCAAGTTCTGTATCTGTAACTCATCTTGTGTTGAATCGTCAAAAGTAGGCCTTGATATCGCTTTTGAATGAAGCTCTTCGAGTGATGTCAATTTTAATTTCAGTCTTACCTTTAGAAAAAAAAAAATCAATAATTACATTGTTGCTGTTCATTGTTCAATAGAATTGTCAAGTCTGTATAAAGATGTTATAAAGTATCATAATGACATCAAAAATAGTTAAGCAGGGTTAACAGAGATAATCCAACTTCTATGGCAAAAAATTTATTTGAACTCACAATTGTATACTGGCAATCTTCTACGATGGTACTCCAAGAGGGTGGAATCGCACCAAGCTCAATGTCATCGACACTCGAAACCAATGCGACTCTATCGGTATTGGAATTGTTAAACTGAAAAATAAAAATATAACAATAAATTATGAGATTTTCTTCTGTGGTCTGCAGGGTGATGAATCTGTAATTTTGATCCTAAGCTTTTTGGCGATTTCGACATCTTCAGCGTCAAATTAGTCAAAATAAGGACATGTACCAAACATATTATGTTATCCAAAAAATAATGCAAGTTTATGGTTATAAAATAAAAACAATTACATAAATGATGTTAAACCTTTTTTATTAACACCCTATACCCTCTGTATAGAATTTGAGTTATTATTATTTTACAATTAATTAAGGTTTTAGTTGAGATGAAAAAAAGTTAATGGCACGAGCGGGATTCGAACCTATGATCTTCAGCTAGATACACCGCTGCTCTACCACTTGAGCTATCGTGACCTTGATCCACTCGGACACTAACTTCCCATCTCAACCCCCAAGGAGGGAAAATTCAAAAGGTGGGATTGAGATGGGAAGTTGGTGTCCGATCGTGGGTTCGAATCCCGCTCGTGCCATTGACTTTTTTATCTCAACTAAAAACCTTAATTAATTGTAATGTATTAATTGGTCAAGCAGACCACGAAATTAGTGAAGTTATTATTATTAATGAATTTTGTAAACGCATTTTCAAACTTTTGATCAATCAATTTTTTTGTTTTGTTATAAAACGTATCCAGGTGTCTGAAAAAATGGCAGTCGGTAGGCGAGGGCGCTGGTGAATAGTGAGGGTGAGGCGGCAGAACCTCATAACCAAGATCTAACAGTCTTTATATTTCAATAAATAAAGGTTTTTAGTTGAAATAAAAAAGTCAGTGTCACGAGCAGGATTTGAACCCATGATCTTCGGCTAGATACGCCGCTGCTCTATCACTTGAGCTATCGTGACCTCGATCCACTCGGACACTAGCTTCCTATCTCAACAATGAATGAAATATATTAATTGGTCAAACGGACCACTAAACCTAGTGAATTTAATAAGTAAAAATGAAGTGTCCCTTCACTAAAGCTCTCCGTGGCCATTTCATTTGTGGCCGAGAATCAAATAGATTACACGACATTTGAAAAATGGCAAAAAGGAGGGAAAATTCGAAAGGTGGAGTTGAGATAGGAAGCTAGTGTCCGAGTGGATCAAGGTCACGATAGCTCAAGTGGTAGAGCAGCGGCGTATCTAGCCGAAGATCGTGGGTTCGAATCTCGCTCATGACACTACTTTTTTATCTCAACTAAAAACCTTTATTTATTGAAATATAAAGACTGTTAGATCTTGATTATGAGGTTCTGCCGCCTCACCCTCACTATTCACCAGCGCCCTCGAATTGAAAGTCTTTATATTTTTAAATGAGAGACATGGGCCATGTAACAGAATTTTTCCAAACCAAAGATGGCTTCAATAATGCCAATTTTTGGTGCCCTGGTTCAATTTGAGAGCAATACGTTTCGGTATTGATAGTTTCACCAGGATTCAAGGAGCTGTAGTAAAAGCAGTGGGCAATCTCAACACGACACACCATATTGGCACATCTACACAGAAAATAAACACTTTGAGCCCTGAAGGTGATCTCCATAAAGATCAAAACGTTGGGACGATAAAGAAAATGTTTTTCTAAAACCTACATCTCACCAGACCACATCTCACGATCTCCAAATAATCATTAACTAACGATCACTAAACACCACACATTAGATTTAATTGAAAGGAAGGCTTCTAAAACATTTTCATGTGGAATATTTGAAAACCTAAACAGCAATTTATGGAGATCTAGATGAGCAGGAAATGGAGTTTTAGTTTGGAGGAAAGAGGACACATATCACCCACAGTATGATGTTACAAAGTATTATTTGTACTAAAAAAAATTGAAGGTTTAAGTAGAAAACGAAATAACCCAGGTAAATGATATAATAATCTAAGAAATGAACGAAAATTGTTACCTGGTCTGAATAGATGCTTCTGTTCTGGGACGAGTTGTTCCTGAAGATGATGAAGATCTCTGTCAAGCTGCGTGTCGTCATTTCGACCCAGTCTCGTCCTACTCGTTCCGGTGAGTTAAAACGTATAAAACTACCTCCAGGCAGAACTCGCTGGAGAAAAACTGGAACTGGACAGCTGACATCTCAGATACGACTGTCGTAAGGAGGACCAGGCCGGAGAGACGACAGACGAGCAGGTTGCACTCGTTACCGGTTATCGATTTTATCAACATTGACCATCATGACATCACTGTCCTCTGTAACGTCTATGATGTCAGTGCATATCAATTGCTATAAAAAAATACAATGATCCATTCATTTATGTATTTTGGTCTTGAAACGTATAACAATCGATAGCTTTTTTATTTTGTTTCTTACCAACTTCAATAGATATAAGGATTAGGGATAAAAGAGGTGGCCATGCTCCTCGATCTATTATGCTATTCTATACCAGCTTCAGGTTGTTAATCAACCTCCATAGCCTTGCCAGCGATGTCGTGTAGGATCTTGCTTGCGGCTTTTCCTCTCCTAGTTGCAATAATATCATAAAAACATAACACTGGATCTGCGGACTCCTCTTCGTGGCAGTATGTGCGCAGTGTTTCTTCTGTCTGTACTCCTACCCAGAGCATGTGACTTCTTAAATGGCAGTGCCCTGTCATTAATTCAGAATCTTCACTTCGCTTGCCTCATACCTTGGTATTGTTTCACCAGGTTTTGAAATCATGGAGGATCCATTTCAAGATGTATCCATTTTTGTGGTAAGATGCTATGCCACGATAGGGTTCGGGACAGAGAGTTCATGACTCCCTCTTTGGCCAAGTCAACCTTTTCGTTGCTTCTATGCCCATTGTTATATTTTTTATATTTGTAAATTGAATTAATTCCGTAAAATTTATATTATTATTATATTTCTTGAAAATATCACCATCTGCATTTCATAAAATTCGACTCTTACAGAGGGAAAGTTCATATAGTTTAAAAATCGATAGTATTGTATCGATTGTACAATCGATAATCGCTCATCTCTAGTCAGATCTTCAGAGTCTGTAACCGTAACGTATTTGTCAATTTACACTTTACAGTCGTCTCGTCTGTACTCCGTTAAGCCGGTTTGAACTTGTGAAGTACTTGTGGGTTGGTTTCGTCGACAAGCCGTACAGGGGGACTTTATTATGAACGGAGACGAAGTTTTGGTACGTATTATCATCGCACCCTTTGTGAAATTTCACCTTTAGGCAATGATCAAATTTACAGGCCAGTTTCAACGGGAGGTACAGAACTTTCAACAAAAAATGGACTTACACCGGAAGCCTCAGTGCTGTTAACGTAAGTATATTTTTATACTGACCTTTCTTTACGAACAGTCACTGTATAAGCCACTTTGGCACTCTGTGGTACCAACCAGAGTTGGTGTTAAGGCGCATTTTTTCTTTTATATTTTATCGTAAATTACGAAGTCTCCCCCCTTTTTTTTCTCTCAATTATATATTTTAATGTTTGATTTATGTTTGCATGCATTAAGTTTATTATTATTTTACACACGTATCGGGGATAAATGTTTAATTTTGTTCAAATAATTGTTGATTACGCGTTCAAAACAAGAAAGGATTAGCCGTTATCGCGCACGCTTAATCCAGAATGAGACGTCGAGAAGCAGTATTTGCACAACTTTGAAATACAAATTACAAACATCTATTTCCCGTACATCGGCCTATCGATTGCTATATCGATTTCGTCACGTCCCATCGTCGATCCCTATACCATCAGGGACCACCGCCGAAAAGATCGGGGTTTATACTATGACGTCACCAGGCTGTATTTTCTTTTGAACTTCTTCATCTCATATTTATTTTTTTCTTTGTCGTCGTTTCGTCTGGTTTTCTTCATCATCTGTGGCTTCTTCATCATTTTCGACTTCACATCTTCAATTTTCATACCTGCTTCGCCATTCACTTCATCCTTAAGTTTACTTTATTATTATTATTTTATTGCATGCAAGTTTATTCGTTAAGTTAATTTAATTCATAGTTAACGTGCACGTCTTTACATGAGTAATATTATTAAAGTCAATTTTCATTCATTTCTTTTCTTTAAAATTTAATAATTTCCATTTTGTTTAAATCTGGTCAATCGAATACCACGATCTGGTCAAATGATAGTAATTCAAGAAGTTGTTTAAATTTAATTTATATGTCAATAGAAAATTCAATTCAAATCAATAGAAAAAGGTTTATTTTAATTTTATCTGGTCTTGTTTTATGTTTTTAAATCAAGTAAGAATACATTTATTGACAATTAATTAAGGCTTTTAGTTGAGATGAAAAAAAGTTAATGGCACGAGCGGGATTCGAACCCACGATCTTCGGCTAGATACGCCGCTGCTCTACCACTTGAGCTATCGTGACCTCGATCCTGTTTGTATATCTCAAGCAGGATGCAGAATAATGGAAGCTATTTTGATGTCATATTTCAAATCTAATAGATTTCAATGATATGTTATTATAAGTTAGCACCACTTAAATTGGGGTAATCAACATGAATTTTATTTTCAAGGAAAATAGAAGGTAGTGCAAAAAGAACAAGGATTGTTGAGTATGCTGAAAAAATTAACGAATAATTAAAAGCTTAAATTTTGGGAACTCAAAGTTCAATTATACAATTTATTTTATATCTTTGATATTAAAAGTATCATTATTTATGTATATCAAAACTTATATGATTTTTGTAGATGGCTGTAGCTGGATTTTATTATATGGGGAAAGACGACTGTGTTAAGTGTTATTACTGTGAAAAGGAACTTGAGGGTTGGGAAAACGATGATGATCCATAGTAAGAGCATACATTTTGTAAAACATATATTTATTTTTAATTATTTATTTGATTTATTTTTTTTTTTAGCGATGAACATAGGACTCATCAACCTAAATGCCCTTATATTCTTATGTACTCTTCTCCCCCAAAGAAAATACTACTGCATGAAATGTTTGAACTTGAAGTACAGAGTATGCTATTCAAAATGGTGTGCACTTTTCCTTATAGAACTAACGCTTTTCATTGTTTATGTTTACATTTGTTTATGTGTTTCAGGAAAAAAGGCATCAAGAAAAAATGGATAAGCTTACCTTAGCTTTGAAAAAAAGAAAAATTTAAATATACCTGTTAATAAAATAAATATTACTTTCTATAAATCTGAGCATGGGAGTGAATTTGTATATTTTGATATAATAATCCAACATCAGTCACAAGTACTGAAGAAAAAATGTAAAATATAATTATAATATAATATGTACAAACTTCAATGTTTTTGTTTAAATTTATACGTATCCGAGTATGTGAGCTGATGTGTGTGGGTGATGATCTTTACTCAGATGAATATATAGCTTGGTAATTTTCTCAAAAGGACGTGCTATGTGGTGCAGCTTTTTCAAATATTTGCTCTTGCAATTTCCAAGAAAATCAACGAGGAGATACTTTGTGTTTTTAATGATTAACGGTCTCTATAATATTAAATGCACATATACAATTTTATTTTATAATAATGTATAAAAAAAGATAATATGCAATTACCTGTTCTAAAAATTTACTATTTTCATAAGAAGCTGCAATATGCTTCATTTGAGCTTCAAAAACTTCATAAAGTACTTTACCAGTCGCATATTCAAGGTCTGGCCAACAGATTGCTAAACAATCATCTAACAATGACGTAAATAATTTTGTGAAACTTTGAGTATTAGCTGTCAGTTCTAGCCAGCCTCCATCTTAAAAAAAAGAAAAAAAGGTGAGAGAAATTTTTTTTAGTCTTAAGCACTACATACCAGCAATGTATGGTTTCAGCGACTCCGGAATTATTTTCGGTGGCCGGACTGGATTCCATGTGTCTTCAGTCGCACGTTTCCTGATAGCTTCAATAAGCTTTTCCCTCGTTTCCGTCAATGCTTTTGTAACCGGTGTTATAAGATGGCCGTTGAGTTGATACTCCAAGTCGAATCCGAGCTCTCCCATTTGCCGAGACTCGTTTCTAACTATACCCACCGATTCGGCCAACATGTTTATTGACGCTTGAGGCACGAATACTTGCTTTACAAAATGGCCCATGAAATGCGAAACTTCCATTGAAGCCCAGACCACAAACGCTGGAAGAAAAACGATAATCGATATTATGTTATAAAAGAGAAATAAGTTGACCTACAAGAACTGCACGATGGTGAGTTTGGAAACGCCCTGTATTGAAATTCACCCGTAATTCCTGCTAAGCTTGAGAAAAACACCTATTGAAAAAATCAAATTAATCAAGTAAATCAACAACAAAATCAAAAACCAACCTGTGAAATTCGTTTAACATAGGATAAGGTTGTACCCTCTTTTTTAACCCGTCTCGTTTGTGCTTTTAAAACATTAGAACATACTTTGAGATACAGTTCACACGCCTGTGAAGACTTTCCAAGTTGGTTCAATAATTTAATCGACCTCCTTGTCGCTCTGAGACCACCTTGAAGAGATTTCTCATTGCTTACGCTCATTTCACCAAGCAATGTATCACTCAACAACTGGGTTCGAGATTCAATTTTAGACCTAAATACAAAATTAAACCATGTATATATACAACCCATTAACATGTGAATTTTGTTTTCACAATTGGGGGCCATTTTATAAGTCATAAAGAAATGTGCGTCTTTCACCTATGCTAGATAAATGGTTTTTTTTTCTTTTTTAAATGAGGGTTTGTAACAGCGCAGGTCATATAAACCCTCAGGTTTTTGAAAGACTTTTGAAAAAAAGCCCATTTGTAAGTATAATCAAGTGGCCCTGCATTTGAACCCGGGACCTTTACCTTACTGTGATGAGCACCGTGTCAACACCTAAACCGTTGTGGCACCGATGCCCCACATGCTAGACATACAAGGTGGCCCCAATCGATTCAGCCACACTTCCAGATCTTATAGGAAATTGAACAATGAGTAAAAAACGTCCTATGAACCTGTGTCCGCAAACCCTTCAGTTCCGAGCTACAAGCAAAAAACCATGAAAAACCACATTTTTTGACCTTATTCGTTAAATCATTATTAAACAGTTCGTAACAGCTCGAAACAACATCTGTAGAGGATTAATTTCTGCGTCGAATGAGATTAAAACCAGCCTGATCGGCTGAAAATTTCATTTTTGGCGATTTTTCGAAGTTAGGAGGTGAAAGGGTACACAAAATTCACCATTTCTGACATTTTTATTGATTTTGCGTACAATTTCTAAAATTTTTAAGTAAGCCGTTCAGATTTTTTTTATATTTCATTCAGTACGGGGTACCCATCAGAAAAAAGTAACATTCGATTTGGGTGAAAAGCAGTAAATTAGCCAAAATTCAAATGTTTCAAGAATCAGAATTTGATCACCAACAAATGAGGTTTGTAACAGAAAATTTTTTGATAGGGTGTTCAAATTGTGAATTTTCGATAAAAATGTCAGAAACAGTGAATTTTGTGTACCCCTTCACTTCCTAACTTCGAAAAATCGCCAAAAATGAAATTTTCGGCCGATCAGGCTGGTTTTAATCTCAATCAACGCAGAAATTAATCCTCTACAGATGTTGTTTCGAGCTGTTTTACGGTCAGGCTAACGGTTTACTAACAATTTCATGAATAAGGTAAAAAAACGTGGTTTTTTGCCTATAGCTCGGAACTGAAGTATTTGTGGACCCAGGTTCATAGGACCTTTTTTACTCAGCGTTCTATTTCCTATAAGATCTGGAAGTGTGGCTGAATCGTTTGGGACCACCCTGTATATGGGTGAGTCTAAACCCAAGCATGCAGATCCCAGGGAATGAATACAGTTCGCCTTAAACGTGGTGTACAAGATGCCAGACTTTTTTCAACCCAAACCTCCCGCCATCCTTTTGTAGATGGAGAAGGTGAAGTAGATGGGCCTAGAGATATGTTCTGGCTATGGTTTTGGATATAAGTAGAAATGCCAACCACCTCCAGAAGTGTTCTACTATCCAAGTTTTTATGATTGCCAGAATGACCTAGACAGCTGTCTCGCTCAGAGTACTTGCCAGGAGTCTCACCACAAACCACTACGAATCCAAACAATTGCAAGCATTTGGGCCTGGAAGAGGCTCGCGCTTAGTTCAGTTGACCTGGTTCCTTCTCTGACCTTCTAGAAGGGATCCTATTTACCAGACTGATCACAGGCCCACCATTAAGACTGCTGTGCAGGGTTCACTGACCATACCCGACATCATTTGACTTCTGCCTCAGAGTGTATGCCACATGCTCTAGGCCACGCCATTGTTTTTCGTCTGGAAAGCCCACTTCCAGACAAGGGTTGGGAAAGGAATATTAGATTGAGTAGGGGCCTATTGCTAGTTGAAAACTATAACCTTGGCATAGTGGCGTTAATGGCAGCAGCGGTTTAGACGTTGGCACTCATCACTTTATGGTAAAATGGTCCTGGGTTCGAATCCAACAGCCTTGCATTCGACCTGACATACTTATAAATGGGCTTTTTTGGTTATTTATTTCTATAACCTCATAGTTGAAATACCCTCATAAAACAAAAAACTATAGTGTGATATTTATTTTAAATACCATTATTTCCAATAAAAACTGGATTTCTGTTCTTACTGGATTTCAAGAAGCGATTCCTTGTTTTCCGATTCTTTGATAAATTCCGTAGCCTTTTGAATTAAGGAATAAGCTTCCTCAAAAAGCCTCTGTGCTATAAATACGTCCAAATCGTCTGGAGCATCTAAGAACCACTCGGGAATTTCATTGACAGATTCTCCGTCATCATCAAAATAGCCAAATGCTTAAACACAATACACCAATTAATTATTTACAGGAATAACATCATAGCAGAAAAAACTTACGATTTGAACCGGAATCAACCGAATCTGTTCGTATAGGAGGAGTTTTAGGGTCGTCTTTGTTACATTTTTTGGCCTGTTCTGAATTTAGGCAAGCCTTTTTCCCTTCCTCAAATTTGCTTAGCCATTCTTCCTAAATTAGAAAGTAAAATAAGCCGTAAAATAAAATATAGCCAATAAATAAATATTTACTCTTGCTTGGTGGTTTGGACACTGGAAAAGCCTTGTATCAGGAAATACGAGCAGTTTAAAAGCATGTTTTACACTCCCGAAATCTCTTACGTTAACAACAGCAAGTGTGGCCAAATCGTATTTACACTGATACTTGTATTTGGCAGGACCTCGCCTGGAGAAATAAACAAATTACAAATCCAGGGGAAGGAAAAAGTGAAAAAAATGTACCTATCGGATATCCATGTTGTTATCATAATGATATCTGAAAATAAAAAAGCGTGACATCTATGCAGGGCTATATTTTCAGTTGAATCCAGCTCAACCAAATCGCCGTCATGGAGTAATTCCCTTCCTTCTACTTCCTGTAAGTTCTATTATATTCAAAAGAATTAATATTATTATTCTAACGTCTAAACAGAATTGACAAGCTTACAATGCAGCCATCGACCAATTCAGAGATATTTGGTAGTCTTTTGTCGATCTGATCCTTGACTTGGACCTGCTCGAGCTGAGGAGGTGGAGATGTCATTGATGCAAGAAGTGCTCTCTGTTCCGACAAAAGATGGGACAACTGGTACATTTCCCCTTCCAAATCTATCACGGATTTGTTAAGATAACATTTATGTATTCGAGTTAATTATTATAATGTATTAACAATTTTCAAAAAGCCTATATCAATGATTCAAAATTACAGTGCGTTGGTTATTTGAAACAAAAATTTTCGTGAAAAATAATTTGAAACTGAAGATATGTACAAAAACTACTTAAAGCATGGTGGAATGGTAAGAAACCCAATAATCAAATTGAAGCAAAAGGATACGAGAAATCTCCCTTGCGGTCTCAATAAACTGCATGTAGTTTTTGTAGACATTCTTCTTAAGCGCTTGGCTTGTTTCTTCTGCGATCGCCTGAATTTTGGCCTTGTGTCGCTGGAGCTCTAGACCACCGACACAGACCTGTGACACTTCTTTGACATCTGCAAGAGAATCAGCCGGAAAGAAGAGAATTTCAAATTAGTGTATGAACAAAACATTTCCATACATTATTTATTTATTTATTAATATGGGACATACCAATTGTAAGAAGAATAAAGAAAAATAAGCATACAAACACAAGTATAAAATAAAATTTAGAGGAATTAACGAAAAAATAAATACACTGATAGACAAAATTAATGCACCACCCACAAATTTTAATATATTTAGGTTTATTCATTTTTGCATATCAAAACTAGGTTTAAGGGGCATTTAAAAAAAAGTTTATTACTTAATTTTAAAAAATTGAGTAAAGAACCAAAAAATTAAATAAAAATGTAAAAAAACTTTTTTGTCCCCTTTGATACTGAGTATTTCCACCTCTGGGTCTTGCATATAAAAAATAGGTTTAACAAAGGCACATTTAAAAAGAAAATGTTTATTACCTAATTTAAAAAAAGAACAAAAAAATAAAAGGGTAAAAAAAATTTATGTCCACTTCGATAATGAGTATTTCCACCTCTGGGTATTGCATATAAAAAATAGGTTTAAGAAAGGCACATTTAAAAAGAAAATGTTTATTATCTAATTTTAAAAAAAAGAACAAAAAAATAAAAGGGCAAAAAAAAATTTTATGTCCTCTTTGATAATGAATATTTCCACCTCTGGGTCTTGCATACAAAAAATAAATTTAAGGGACATTTAAAAAAAATGTTGATTACCTATTTTAAAAAAAGAGTAAAGAACAAAAAAATAAAGGGGTAAAAAATTTTTTTTACCCTCTTTTGATACTGAGTATGTCCACCTCTGGAACTTGCATACCAAAAAAAGGTTTAAGGGACATTTAAAAAGAAAATGTTTATTTGTTTATTTTTTTGACGGGCTTCCAACATCTATGTCATTTCAGCCCCCAACTAAGTCTATATTCCATTTACCCTTTCAAACACTACATTCATACAAATAAATACATTCATATAGTACACTCATTCCGTTTGGTCGGTGAAGTACTTGATATTCCTCCACCGACCTATATTCAAACTAATCTAGATTGATGAAGTACTTTTATAAATATTCTGCCATCGACCCTGAACACACACTCATACGCTCTCAATGTTTGAGGGGCGATGATGACATTATCTTTCACCCTCACCCCTCGCCATTCACGCTAATAAATACATGCACTCAGTCAAAACATAGAGACACACAACACATAAGACATATTATATACAATAAAAAAAAAAAAAAAAAACAATTTCCCTTAAAAAGCAAAACAGGGGACTCTGAAACTCGCTACCGTGTTTGAGAAATCTTCTTAAGTCCGGCGGCATGCCTACACGCTCTCTGTATGGAGCCAAGGCATGACACGCCTCTATTATGTGGGGCACATCGAGCAACCTTTCTCTGCATAAGGGGCACCTGCACGGGCTTTGGCCCAAAAGCAGGTGCCCATGTGTCAACCGCGAAAATGTTTACCTAATTTTTTTTTAAATTGAGTAAAGAAGAAAAAAATAAATAAAAATAAAATAATGTAAAAAACTTTTTTGTCCCCCTTTGATACTGAGTATTTCCACCTCTGGCAAGAATCATGTCCATAAAACGCCTTTTCATTCCTTGGAAAAAATTTCTGATGAAATCATTACGGTTTATTTCCCATTCATCAAGAACAGCCGTTCCTAACTTTTCTAGGGTGTTAACACCTGGGTCTCACCATCATTCTAGTCGCTTAAGTTGGCCCCAAATGTGTTCAAATCTTGACTGTGAGCTGGCCATACCAAGTATTCAATTCCAACGCCATTCAGGTAGTCGTCCACAATATATGCTCTATAGGGCCTGGCATTATCCTGTTAGCAAGAATCTCTCATTGATGAGGGGGGCAAATGGCACTAAATGTTCTTCGATTGTGTCGTGTAATTGCCTCTGTGAAGTTTGAAGTGAAACAGACACTTCCTCCAAGGAAACACCATCCCATATCACCAATGACCATGCATGAGGTACCATGCAGCGGTATACCATGGGGTGTACCTATCTCCTGAGCGCCTCCATATCTGAAGATTTGAGGCCAACTCTCACCTCTTCTGCAAAGAGAACTTGTCGCCAATCTTCCAATGTCCAATTCACATGTTCACGCGCGATTGAAGCCTGTACATTTTCTGCGCTGTGGTAAGAAGGTCCATGAATCGGGCGATGGGCCTTGAGTTTCATTTTCATGGGCCTTCTTACAGTCCTGTAAATTGAAACATTTTGGACTTGTCTTATCAAATTTCTTATCTCTTTCCATCCATCGACCCTTTCTAGTGTGAAGCCCAGTTTCTCTGAAGCACTGAAGAACCCTTCCTATTGGAGAATGATTTACAATCAGCCTCCTTGCAAATTCTCGCTGGCTGTTATGACTCTGAGTCAAATGCCTGACCGAAGCCATTGAAAAAGGTTGAAGATTAAAAATAATATCAAATAAAATCAACTAAGGAAAAAGATTAACTGAAAGCGTTTGTCCAGAATGGGACGGCACAATGCTACTTTTTGCGCAGATGGGATTAATCAGTATAAATGTAAACAAAATATTATTTACTGTTTATTTTGACTATGATAGGTCCTAATTAACTGAAACTAATGTAGAAAAATAATGGATTTGATTTTAAACGAAAAAAACTGAGTGAGCGTTAAATTTGTCGGTCAGTGTATGACATCTACTTGATGCCCTGACACTAGTGTAGTAATATTCAATACAAATTTTAATTGAACATTGTAACATTATTTATTTTAATTATCAATCAAGGACCCTTTAATCAGTTTTTAAAAGATACAGATACGCCACTCTATTGCTGTACGTTTTGTTTTAAAAAAAAACATTTAGAAAAGTTAATGTATTATAGAAACATTTATTAGGACGTGTTTACTTTAATAATAAAACTGCCTGTTTTTGACTTACATTTGTCTGGATTGAAGTCCGAACTAGAAAATTTTTTCATCTGCTCTGCCATATTCAAATTAAATATTTGTCAAAGACGATTTTATCATAAGTTCCCGATGTCTGTCAAACACGTCAAAACGCCTCCTAAGACTTATCAAGTATTAACTAAAATAGTAAGTACTAAGAACGAGTATCGATACTGTAAGTATAATCAAATATATTTCAATCATTCCTGGTGTTTAATATATAAAATATAAATATGTTTTTAACGTTTTAATTTACTTATTTTATCAATGAATATTTTACTATTAATCAAAACAAAAAAAGAAATCTTGAATTTAATTTTACCAATTAGGTTTTTTTAAAATCGAAATATCGATCATTTTCTTTGATGTGCAACATGATTGTTGTTCGCTGATAATTATCAATCGAAGTTGTAACCTTTGGAGCAGGTTCCTCGGCCGCTGCTCACTGGTGATTTTGCTGTTGTTAAGCCATGGGCAATAAACACTTCGCATTTCTCGCCAGAACTGTGCTTGTGAGGAACAACAATGTCGATGAAGCTGCAAGGTTGTTGAACAGGTGATTATTTGAAAGGATTGCGTTGTAGACAAAATTGACGTTGTACACAACATTATTTTTTCGCAGAATCTTAGGCAAGGAGGATATCTTCGACCAGTTCAGAAGAACAAGGTACTACGAAAAGCCTTTTCAGGTAATATTAATGTTTAGCACTTGATCTTTCATATACGCTGATGGACAAATTCAACGCACCGCTCAATTTATTTAGTTTATCTTTCTACATTAATTACAGCTAATTGTAGACAATCGTTGATTTCATATATTACTCTTATTCTTAAAATTTTCTCAGTGGCGTCAGGCATTTGAGTATGGCAGTGTCAGGTCATAATATTATTGGTGGAAGGACACAGTGTAAATCACTTCTGTACAAAGCGTACTTTGGCACTTCAAAAAACAGGGTTTGTACTAGAATGCCAGGACAGGGTTGACCTAGGTCTACAGACGAGAGAGATGATAGCTCTATGAAACTGCAGCATTACAGGAAATGAGATAAGAAATCTGATAAGACAAGTCTGAAATGTTTCGATTTCCTCCAGGACTGTAAGAAGAAAGCTTAATGAAAATAACCTCAGGGCTGGCACCTGGCTCGTGACCTCTTCTTACCACAGCGCGGAAAATGTCCAGGGTTCAATTTGCATGGGAACATGTGAATTGTACATTGGAAGATTGGGGAAGAGTTCACTTTACATGTGAGATGAGAGCTGGTCTCAAATCGTCAGATTGCTTGGAGTTGCTCAGGAGAAAGGTACGTCCGGCCCACACCGACTTGGTTGTTGTGCGAGGAAGATCTCTACTTCACTTCTAACTTCGCAAAGGTACTTCATAAAACATGATCAAAGAACATCTAGTGTCATTTTCCCCTACATTGGTGAGAAATTCATGGTAATGCAGGATAATGCCAGGCCCCATAGCGCACGTATTGTGGATGATTATGAGTCTTCAGATGGGAATAATTTCATATACAGATGCTCAGGAGAAAGGTACACCCCATGCTCCATGGTTCCTCAGGTCATTGGGGGTCATTGATGTTCTGGGCTGGCATTTCCTTGGACGCCCTCACCGAATTGGTTGTTGTGCAAGGAAGATATTTAACTTCATACAAATACTCACAAAACATAATCGAAGAACGTAGAGCCATTTACCCCTTCCCTCATATTGTTGAGAGATTCTTGTAAATGCAGGAGAATGCCAGGCTTGAAAGATTTCTTGGATGCCCACATAGAATTGTTTGTTGTACGAGAAAGATCTCAACTTCACAGAGGTACTACATAATCAAAGAACACTTGCCACCACAAGAAAGACCATTTGCCCCCAGATTGGTGAAAATTTTTTACTAATGCAGGATAATGCCAGTCCCCATAGGGCACATATTGAGGATGACTGAAGTTGGAATTGACCCGCTTGAAGTCTAGATTTGAACCCACTTGGCACCAACTAAAGCCACGAGTACGACGGCAAAACCCAAATCCTAACGCCTGGAAATGGCTGTTCTTTATGAATGGTTAGGGATGAATGGAAAAGAATTCCTCAGGATTTTCTCAGAAATCTTTTCCAAGGAATGGAAAAGCATTTATTGGATGTGATTCGTGCCAGAAGTAGAAATACTCGGTATTAAATGAGACAAAAATATTTTGTTCTATACTCAATCATTGTTTCTAGAATTTGGTGATAAACATTTTATTTTTAAATGTTTTATTTTTACAACCAAACATATTTTTGGTATGCAACACGAATAAACCTAAATAGATTAAAATTTAAGGGTGGTGCGTTAAATTATGCCCAACAGTATTTATCTCAGCTAATGGATTTTCTGGAAGGGTTTCATTTCTTTAATGAACTGTAGAATTGTTCATAAGGGTTTGGTATCTGGGTCTCTATTGCACCGGAATCCCTTTCCGAGACACATAGCTTCTCTTCTAGATATAGTCGACATTCGTCAACTTTTGATGTAACTTTCAATTAATTAAGGTTTTTAGTTGAGATAAAAAAGTCAGTGTCACGAGCGGGATTTGAACCCACGACCTTCGGCTAGATACGCCGCTACTCTACCACTTGAGCTGTCGTGACTTCAATTCACTTGAAACACCAACTTCCCATCTCAACCCCACCTTTTGAATTTCCCTCATTTTTGCCTTTGAAAAATTGCAGAAAGGAGGGAAAATTCAAAAGGTGGGGTTGAGTTGGGAAGTTAGTGTCTGATTGGATCGAGGTCACGATAGTTCAGGTGGTAGAGCAGCGGCGTATCTAGCTGAAGATCGTGGGTTCGAATCCCGCTCATGACACTGACTTTTTTTATCTCAACTAAAAACCTTAATTAATTGAAAGATATTAATTGGTCAAGCGGACCACGAAAACTAATGAATTTTGATGTAACATTTGTGTCCACCTCTAAGCGCCAAAGCCAGTACTGCCATATTGATGCAGAGAGCAATGTTTTTGTCGAATCATGTTTTTAAAGTAGTATTTTACTGGAACATGCCCTGAAAATATGCTCGTTAGAGTTTTTAGTTCCTTTCTTTCTTTAAAATATCCTCTTTTTGCCAGTATTTTTGTTTGCCATGAATGCTTTTGTCAAAAACCTGTCAACATCCTCTCCTTTCCTGGTGCGGGATTGATAGTGAATCGGCTTTGCCATTTTTATTCTAAAAATTTAAATCAGTTCAGCACATATCGATAGGCCAGTCAGGCATGCAGGCAATGTGTGGATGTAGCTATAGTTTATGCCACAAAATAGACTTGGATCTATGTGTTTTTCCACGGCTACCTTTTTACCTAGGAAATCCTTCAAGATCACCCGACTTGATGTAAGATATAAACTTTCAGGGTGATTTGGCATATTGTGCTCTTTGATAGCTATTTTATTTCTGATGATGTATCTATAGCACACTGGTGAGACACAATCCATCAAGGAATTTAATTATTAGGCCCCGCTAGACAAAAATAAAAAATTACATGTCTCGGTTTTTCCCCCAATAAAAAAATAAATTTTTTTTTTTACAAAAACCTTTATGTGAAGGAGGATAGAGGTTAGACTCACTTTGTATTTACATCATTAATGTACATGAAAAGTATCATGTTAATTAATGTAGGAAAAAAATGACATTAAAAATCAAATTTAGATATGGTAATTAATTTTCATTTATGCTACTTAGCCACTTTTTCACAATTTGCCATCTAGAATGATGGCGTATAAAATATATATTTTACTAATTAATAAATTTATTTATTTACACATACATACAGATCAATGACATTATAGGAATAAACAAAGGTAAATTACAAATTACCTTTGTTTATACTTATGACATTAAAAAACAAAATTTAAATATGGTTAATTAATTTATTTACATTTATGCTACTTAGCCACTTTTTTACAATTTGGCAGCTATAATGATGGTGTATAAAATTCATAGTTTACTAATTACTAATACGGATCAAAGACCTTTTTATATTTAATAAAAATCACGTGTTAGGAATAGACGAAGATAAATTATCAAAAAAATATATACTTATAAGGTTGTAAAGTTTGTAGACTATGGGATAATTTTCAAGTTTTTGTATTGACCTCAAAAAATTGTTTTGTTTTAAGGATTTTGTCATACGAGTCTGACAAATATGTTTTTAAGATATGTATTTACACAGAAAATTATTTAATATTATTATAACTGATAGTGTATATTTTCTCCTTGATTGATTCGATATAACATTTTTGTATTTTTGTGTAGTTGTAGATGATGCTTTTCTAGTTGGTCCAGAGATAAAGTTGGATTTTTTTAAATGCTGAATTCAACGATTCAAACGGTTTTGAATTTTGAAGCAACTGTTGTTAAGTTATTAGCACAACTATTTTCTAACAGTGTTTTTTGGAAAAAAACAAACTTTTAAATCAAGAACCAAATTATTTATTTATCATTTTAATGGTAAATTAATTTTTTCACGTTTGCAAATTTCGCAACAATTTCCTCAAATAACATCAACTAATAGGACGATCTTGTTGAAGAATTTTCTAAAATAAAAAAAAATCCGTAAGTTTTAATAACTTGAGAACGGTTGTTCTAAAATTCAAAACAGTTTGCACCGTTAAATTCAGTATTAAAAAAAAAAAATCAAAAATGTACATTAATGATTATTACATTAATCCATACATGTTTAGCAGTCAAAATTGTTTATATTAATTATTTCGATTAATTATTCTTTTTATCTGAGGTGTGGGTTGAGATGAAAAAGTTACTTAACTACTTACTTAGTAACTTTTTCACCTCAACCAAGACCTTAGATTTAAAAATAATTGATGATTATGTAGCCATTCGATATAGTTAAGTCCCTATTCGTATCCCGCTACCCTGGAGAGTTAGATCAAAACTTATTGTCAGACAAAAATAAAAATGTATTTGTCTCGATGTATAAAAAACTACTTTACTACTTTTACTACTCTCTAGAATAATAACAAAAATAAATTTTAGTTTTTCCAGTCAAATAAATCAATATTCATGCTGTTTCTTTGTGTGAGCAGAACAATGTACTGGTGTGTACGATGATAGATGCATCGACTTTGGCTCAGATTATTTTCTCTTGATCAAGTATGCTTTTATTACAGAAATTTTATTTTTTACAGCAAAGGAGGAGGATAAACTATGAGAAGTGTAAGGGGATATACAACGAAGATATGGCGAGGAAAATTAACTTCATCATGAGAAAAAACCGCGAAGATCCATATCCTGGATGCCATTGATTCATTTCAGTCGTTGAACATTTTGTAAATATAAAAATTTATAGTTTAATAAATAGAATACGATTAAAAAAAAAAATTGAGTTTTTGTTGTAAGGTGCTAGGAGGTAAGGTAAGAGAGGTAAATTAATAGGCAGGCGGTAGGTAGGTGAGCTGGAAGGAGAAGGGCCTACCGATGAGTCACCTTCTGACTACCTGCACCACATTTTCGCTCGATCCATTCTGAATCCGAACACGTTTAATGAAAACCAAGTTGAACACGCTGTCCCCCATGAATGTCATCATCGCCACTGGGCGGGGCAGTATTTACTTACTAATTTGTTAAAAAACGTGAAAATTATTACATTTTAATTTAATTTTATTTTTAAATAGTAGAAAAATAGGACCTAGTCAGGTATCAACCACGACCTTCGATTTCAAAGAATGTCAATAACCGACTGAATTGTACTCTCTAATTGTTATCTCTTGGATTATCTCCGCAAATTGGTCCTGTTGAGGATTATTTTCTAAACTAGTACTAAGCCACTTGTCAGTCCTTTCCTGCCCTTCTTCCCCATTGAATGTATTAAGCTTCTCCCTGCTAAGTCGCAAGATAAGGGACTTTAAATTTTGCCTAGTTCGTAATAAATTCAATCGATAAGATATTTCTATTAAGTTTTTTAAAATGCAAAATAAAAAATCATTACACCATAAAAGTAGGTACATAAAAAGAGCTATAAAGGGGGTAGTGTGGACGTATTGCAACAACATGAAATTTACGTTTTTAACTGTTTGTTTTATTACATTGTTTAGAATTTATTATTATTATTATTACTATTATTATTAATTATTATTATTATGCGTCGTAAGTCGTCTGCATTGAATTATGTGCAAAAAATAAGTGCGTATAAAATGTGAATATGCTACAAACAAAAAGTGGTAATTTAATTGCATTGAAAGTAATACAGTTTTAATGTGTGGTGATTAGTGACCGTTAATCGATGATTATTCAGAAATCGTGAGATGCGGTCTGGTGTGACGTAGGTTTCAGAAAAACCTTTTCTTTATCGTGCCACGTTTCGAGCTTTATTGAGATCATCTTCAGGGCCTGGATTTACAAACATTGTTTAAATTTAATAAATATAAATATAAACTCAGTTTTTTCCACATCCTACATGTATTTGTCAAATTGAAACAATGTAAATCCCAGGCCCTGAAGATGATCTCAATAAAGATCGAAACGTTGGCAGGATAAAGAAAATGTTTTTCTAAAACTTACATTACACCGATTTCTGAATAATACAGTTTTAAGTTTTATTGTAGTTAGGTTTAGAACCCAACCTAATTGAAGGGTTTGCTCCATAGTGAGAACTTGTATGAATACCACCCGGTATGAGAATTATGCTTGACCACGGCTGCGAATTCAGGGTCACCTGAGAGTTAGCTGTCCTATCGCTGAAAGTGAGCCCTTCTGTGGCATAGCAATTCACCTTATACAAAAAGACAAAATGAGAAAACAGTGGAATTCATTCATTGGACATAAACAATGGAAGAACCGTCTAGCAAATTTTGGAAAGAAATAAGAAAAAGCTACTGTCACGATCGGGATTCGAACCCACGACCTTCGGCTCAATACGCCGCTCCTCAAACCACTTGATCTATCGTGATTTCGATCCACTCGCACACCAACTCCTCATCTCAACCTACAACCTTTCGAATTTTCCCCCCTTTTTGCCATATTTCCAAATAAATCAGGATTTGATTCTCGTCGACTTTTAAGTGGCCACGGTCGTGGGTTCGAATCCCGCTCGTGACACTAGCTTTTTCATTTCACCAAGACCTTAGATAAAAAGTATAATTATTTAAAATAATTAATAATTATGACTATTCATTACATATTTGGGTTACTATAAAATAATGAATATTATATTATTGATAATATGACAACAATTAATGTTTTGTTGTTTAAAAAACTGCAATCAAAAGGAGAATATAAAACAACTCCTGAGCTGTATGGTTACTACAGTTGAAAAAAAAAGTGCTTGAAACCCTAAAACCAATTTCATAAAATAATTATATTTATATTTAAAAAAATTGCCAGTAAGAACAATAGTACAAAAATAATAAAGATCGCATTGCTAATAAGAATAAACGCACAAGCACCTATTTGTATGTACATTATTTTTTTTTTTTTCAAATCAATATTTTTCTTTAGGTTCTTACAAACGTATAGATGCAAAATTATATATACTTTTGAACGTTTTATATTGCACGCTGGTAAAATCCGAAATTTTGAAAAAGAGGGCCTTAGGAAAGGCTGTATAATTTGAATTATCAATTCAAATAAAGTGTTATTTGCTTTGTCAATATTGTTGTTATCGCACTATGTGTGTTGGTTTGTTATTTTACTTAAGCCTTTTGTTTACTTTCTCAGTTTACTTGGGCATACTAATGATTTTTTGCATGACAATAACTACGCTGATACGAATACCTACCATAAATAAAACGAACTCGGTTTTACAGGCTATTGTGTGAAATCTGAATCATTAGTTTAAATTAAATGGTGTCTTTACTACCTAAATTCGAAAAACACAAGGTTTCGCCACTCTGTGGGGGTAATTTTCTCGCTTTTGTGCATTATTCTCCTCTGCATTTTTTTTTTAATCTTCGTAGATCTGGAAGACTTCCTTGCACCCTTCACACGTTATCATATTAATATAGCATTCATACAAAAACAAGCATACTACATGGGTCATGGTATATTCCGATGGTGCCCATCATCATTCTCACAAAATCTATAGCCTATAAACACCCGTACATCTATTTCATTCTCGCAGATAAATACAGTCATTCATCAATCTTTCACACACTACAAACTAAACTATTTACAATTAAAAACTTATAGGGGGCCATCGGGTTCTCAATATTCCACCAATGGCCGATTTTCATTATTGTCGTAATATGTCAATATTTTTTATAATTCTGTGTTTATCTAGTTTTAAAAAGATAATCGCTCTGAAAATTGAATTCATCCGCGTTGTGAGGTTGGCCCGACCGTCCTCCCGACCGCCACTTAGGTGAGTCATCATCCACAGGTTGGTTCCTTTTTTTTTCAAGCTTCTCCGACCTGTTCTCCGATCCTGTTAAACCGTAGCGGCGGGGGTGGGGCCTCGTTGAGGCAGGCGGCTGCCATAAATGTGATGCAGATAATTTTATTTTTCATAATGTGGAATACAAATTAACGTGGTAGCGTAAAAACCTGTCCGATTTGAATTATTCGCGCAGAAATTCTATTCTTTACCAATAACATTGATTTCTTGTAACTTTTTACATAGAATTAAGACTATTAAATTATATAGCAATTTAACAAAACATTTTCGCTCTAGACTTTACTATCGCGATCCGACCCGCTGGCGCTAAACTAGTAATAAAGAATATGGTAAAGAAATGGCATTCGGGACATAGAGGCAATGAGAAAGTAGAGATGTTGGCCAAAAAAACAACAAATAACTAGCTAGGTAAAAGGAGGTGAACACAATTGAAAGTTTGATATCAATAATTTGGAATAATATCTGAAATGGCCACGGGGAGCTGTCAGCGAAGTAAGTACTTCTGTAATTATTGATACATATTATTATATATCAAATAAATATATTATGTATAATTATTCAGAAATCGTGAGATGCGGTCTGGGGTGATGTACGTTTCAGAAAAACATTTTCTTTATCGTACCAACGTTTCGATCTTTATTGAGATCATCTTCAGGGCTCAAAGTGTTTGTTTTCTGTGTAATTATGCCATTCTTGCGTGTCGTGTTGAGAGTGTACATATTTATATTAATCCATATATGTATTTAGTAGGCATAATTGACCGTATTAATTCCATGATGAAGAGTTGGTGTCCGAGTGAAAGTCACAATAGTTCAATTAAAGAAGGGGCGTATTGGGCCGAAGGTCGTGGGATCGAATCCCGCTCGTGACATTAGCTTTTTCATCTCAACCAAGATCTTAAATAAAAAGTGTAAATTAATTTAAATAATTAATACGGTCAATTATGACTACAAAAAACATATACGGATTATGTAGGTTATTTTGCAAAGGTTTTTCCTCTTCTTAATCAAATTGAGTTAATTTCTTGTAGTTATTATTAAAATTTATTTCTGAACTCTTTCCACATTCGGTCAGGTATTGCTAAGGAATCCAGGAAATAATTGCTAAATTTGAACTAGCAAAAAAAGATAGTAATCTTAAGTTTTCCAAGCATGTTTTGGCTCCCGAGCAGACACACTCCGGTTATTAAACAGTTTCTCAACACATGACACCCATTAAAGGGTATATTTTCATTATCTATAAAATGGTCTAAAATAGCATAATTTCCGGATTTTATCTATTTTATGATTAAGTGAGGGAAGTTTGAGCCAGTAACTTATATGCGTTTAAATAGCAAATTCTCACAATTTCACATAAGATCCACGGATGCGGAAAGGAAGAGTGTACTCATTTGAAAAGTTTTTGTTGTACACCTGTCCGATTTAACCCATCTGTGCTGTGCAAACGAGCCATACGTTTTCCGAAAAAGCCGAAAAACCTTCTACGCAGGTGTACCTCTGCGCTGAAATCGTAATTATACGCTGACACTAATTATCTTCGGACTTCCTGTTATGTAAAAGCTTTATTTCCGAGCGTTACTACGTGAAAATTATTTCGACCACGGAAATCGTTTTGGATCCAAGAATCCTTCTGGTTTTTACATGTCGGCTGTCTTAATTTAATTGATCGATTTTTGACAAAAATTCAATTTGGGATATCGCTCTGGCAAGATTGGAAACCGCCATAACACATTTAGAACTCTAGATCTGCAAAGGTTGGTGGATAAAAAAAATTACTGGATCAAGACAAAAATTGAACTTGCTGATAACAAATACATTCCATAAAATTAGTGCGTTGGTTTCTTCTATGCGTTCTTGCAGAATCTGCAAAATCCAGGCACACCACGCTAAGCCCATCGAAGATGCGAAAATAGATAATGAAATTTAACCAAGACAAATGCTCACAAATCGCATGTACATTAAAAAAAATACAGACATCCA